AAATCATTTAGCCCACAGAAATAACCTCCAAGATCCATCCTATAGGTATAAGTAACATATAAACACATTTGTTAAATGCCAAAATAAGTATGGTTTGTAAATATATATACTCACCATCATGGTACTAGATCAAGGAGTAACATTATGCATTATCACAGTTTTCTAAAGCAAGAAAAACACCAAATATTTGGAAATAAATGTTAGCTATTATTGTTGAGGATATTGCTCAAGGTCACTTTCAGACACCCTCCTTTGCATGCCCCGCCATCTGAGACTAGATAGATGGCAACCTGCGAAAGGGCCTTCTCAGTCCTGGCAACAAAATTATGGAACTCCCTCCCTAGGGAGGTGTGACTGCTTTCCTCTACCATTGTCTTCTACCAGCATGTGAAGATTGTTTAATCTGGCATTTCCTCATGGACCCTCCTTCCAATGTATTTAAGCAGCTAATCATCAATTAGCTTCTCTTGTCTTTTCTCAGTTTTAAAGTGCCCACGGTCACACACTTCTGTGCATAGTACACAGAAATCAGCTGTGCACAGATATGAACAGTATACTGAATCAGCAGTTGACTCAGTGGGTAGCAGAACTATCAAATGCACAGTGAAGACGGAAACAGAGCTAAAGCAATGGAAGAAAAGACATGGTGACTCTTGATTTGCATGTTGTTCTGTATGCACCTTCAGAATAATGCATGTGAGAAACACAGAAAATAGTGTTAATAATTTTGGTCCACCACATAATTGAATTAAACAGTAAAAGCATTTATCCAACATGGGCCTAGCTTTCTTTACTTATGATCTAACACAAAGGCTGCAGCTCGATGTCACACTACTGCAGTTTACTGTAAGTTTGTTTTCTCATGCTTATAGAGTCTCTTCATTTCCCCCTCCTTGCACAGGGATTCCTGGTGTGCAACTAACTCTGAGTAAACAAGCTCTGATTCACCTGAGCACCTGCATTTGTATACTGTGGGGAACCAGTTTCAAACCAAGTCCTAAAAGTTATTCACTTTATTTGCTTTTACTCAAATATGCCTTTCAAAAATTGCCAATTGGTAATCCTATTTCTTAAGGAGTAATACTGATTTTTTATTACAGGGTTTTGTACATGTTGTAACAAGATAATGTACTTTGGTTGTTTTAAAGTACTGTATAAGGTGCTAAGTACTACTGTTGTGTCCGCTGACCGCCACCAGGGGCCAGCGAACACTCCAGAGCTTGAATCTGGAGTAACAATGGGGACTAGGCTCCTGGTCTCTCCACTGGGGGACCAATGGGACCTTGGGGGGAAATTTAAACCCACCAACGGGACCTAGGGGTGTGTCCCCAGGTATGTATATAGTTGGCCAGCCGGCCGTTTGTTTTTGTCTTTGTTATGTACCAGTAAACCATGCTGATCACTACATCAGTCTCAGTGGTTTCTTCATGCGTTTAACCCACTACACTTCAATGGTGATGAAGGTGGGGTCCCGCTGAGCAATCCAGCCGGGCTGTCGGGAATCGGCGAGGGAAGACAACGCACCGCTACCTACGCTCCTCCAAATGATGAGCAACGAGCAAGCCGCTTCCCAGCCACAGCCGCAACCGACCAGCACAATGGCCCTTGCTCCGAGATCAGGGCTGGTACCGCCCTTCGATACAAATTGTCCACAACAATGGGGAGCATGGATCACCGGCCTGAAACAAGTCCTGATTTTCTATCAGGTGACCGATGAGGCCAGGAAGAAGGGCCTCCTACTCGGGTCGTGTGGGCCCGCCATGGTAGAGCTGGCCCAATGCCTCCTCTCCCCTAAGAAGCTCGAAGACTGCACCTTCGACGAAATCGTAGCGGCCGTCCAGAACCACTACACGCCTAAGCCTTCAGAGATGACATGCCACGTGGTGTTCCACCAGCAGAGTCAGCAAGGCCACGAAACGGCCGCGGAGTTCCTTGCCGAGCTCCGCCGCCTGGCTTCCGACTGCAAGTTTGAGGGACACTTGGACCTAGCCCTGCGAGACCGTTTCGTCACCGGTCTGCGAGAGGAGAAGCTGCAGCGACGCATAATGGAGGGTGAGATGGTCACCATAGCGTCAGCCATCGCAACCGCCACTGCGTGGGAGAGGTTCCACTGAGCGGCCTCCGCCACACACCAGGCAGCCATCACCTTGCCGACAGACCTCGACAGCGCGGAGGTCCACCGCACCCAAGCACCACGCCGCTCCCCAGCAGCGAACATGAGCTCCGCCCACCAGCATCCCGGCGCGTCAGCTCCAGTATGTGCCAGCTGTGGCGACCAGCACGACAGAAAGGCATGCCAGTTTCGAGGCGCCGTTTGTTGAACCTGCAGGCGCACTGGCCACATCGCCCGGGCCTGTCGCTCCAAAGCCTCCAGCAGGACCCAGCCACTGCGGTACAGAGCGGAAGCCCACTTTGAGGACGACGCAGAGGCCGAGGACCTCTACCAACTCACACATATGGCGGTAAAGGTATTGCAACTCCCCAGAAAATCGCCCACCCCTAAAATTGAAGCCACGGTCACAATTGAGGGATCCCCTTGCCTTATGGAGATAGACTCCAGATCCGCGGCCTCTATTATTTCCGAGGCTATGCTTAAACACTTATGCCCAAAGGGGGGGCCACGCTTGCGCCCGGCCCAGGTCACGCTCATGGACTTCCAGAGAAACCGGGTGCCAATTAAGGGGGTCGGGACTTTCAGAGTGCAATACGGGAAGTTCAAGAGCCAGTTGGACTTGATTGTGGTAGAAGGCGACCTAGTCAGCTTGCTGGGGCGGGCCTGGTTTGAGCCCCTGGGGATTTCAGTTGAGGGAGTCCAGCTCTGTACAACTCAGGATTTTAAAGGGATTTGCAGTTTTTGATGACTCGCTGGGCCTATATACGCCCCCCCGGTGTCCCTGCGTTTAGACCCAAAGGTGGCCCCCATCCGAATGCGCGCCAGGACGGTTCCGTTGTCGGTCAAGCCTAAAAACGATGCGGAACTGGATCGCCTAGTAGCTCATGGGCGTCCTGGAACCGGTCTCCCACGCAGCATGGGAGACCCCAATCGTTGTGGTGGAAAAGCCGAATGGGGCGGTCCGCATCTGCGCGGACTATAAATGTACGCTGAATAAGGCGCTACAAGACCACGCTTATCCGGCCACCTTGGGAGGGGTAAAGATCTTTGGTAAACTGGATCTCACCCAAGCTTATCAGCAGTTGCTGGTAGACGAGGCGACTGCTGACGCACAAACCATTGTAACCCACCGGGGGGGCATTCCGTGTCAAGAGGCTGCAATTCGGGGTGAGCGTGGCACCGGGGATGTTCCAGCAACTAATGAACTCTCTCCTAAAAGGAATCCCCGGCGTCACCCCGTTTTTCGATGATGTGATGATTGCTGCTGCCTCACCGGCCGACTTTGCAGACCGCCTCCGCACCGTGCTCCACCGTTTCCAAGACGCGGGACTAAAGGTTAAACTTGAAAAGTGTCAGCTGGGGGTGCCATCAGTGGACTTCCTGGGGTTCACAGTGGATGCGGAGGGCCTCCACCCGACTCGGGACAAAGTGAAGGCAATTGTGGAGGCTCCACCACCGAAGTCCAAATCAGAACTACAGGCGTTCTTAGGGATTCTCAATTTCTATCACGCCTTTCTTCCCCACAAGGCGGCGGTAGCGGAACCCCTCCACCGCTTGTTAGACAAGCAGGCCCCTTGGGTGTGGGGGCCCCGCCAGGCTGCCGCGTTCCAGAATGTGAAAGAACTGTTGATCTCCAACTCGGTCCTGGCCTACTTCAATGAGGCGCTGCCGGTGGTTTTGGCATGCGACGCCTCACCCTACGGTGTAGGTGCAGTGCTGGCGCATCGTCTCCCAGATGGACGGGAGTTCCCAGTCGCGTATTACTCGCGCACTCTATCTGCGGCTGAGCGGAACTACGCCCAGATCGATCGGGAGGGACTAGCAATCGTAGCTGGGGTCAAGAAGTTCCACGACCTCGTCTACGGCCGGCCGTTCACCATTGTTACAGACCACCGCCCGCTCCTCGGCCTTTTCGCACCTGATCGCCGGACGCCACAAGTCCTCTACCCGCGGGTCTTGCAGTGGTCCATTTTCCTTGCGGGCTATGACTACCAGTTACAACACCGCCTGGGAAAAGCTATGGGCCACACCGATGCCCTTAGCCGTCTTCTGCTGCCCTACGTGGTTGAGGACCCGGCCCCTGCGCACTGGGTCCTCCAGCTGGAGGGCCTGCCGGAAGCCCCGTTGCAGGCTGTGGACATTGCCTGCCACTCGGCCCGGGACCCCGTCATCTCCCGGGTGCTGGGCTGGGTGGTGAGGGGGTGGCCTGCAAAGACGGAAGGCCCCGAGTTCACGGCGTTTATGAGCCGCTGGGAGGAGTTGTCAGCTCACAAAGGCTGCCTGCTGTGGGGAGACAGGGTTGTGGTCCCCTGCACCCTCCGACAAAAGGCTCTCTAGGCCCTTCACGAAGTGCACCCGGGCATCATGAGGATGAAAGGCCTCGCCCGGAGCTACGTCTGGTGGCCAGGCATCGACGCAGAGGTGGAGGCGTCGGTGAAACGTTGCCCAACCTGCCAAGCCGTTCGACCCAGCCCACCGGGAGCACCGTCTCAGTCATGGGAATCCACACGTACCCCGTGGTCCCGGCTCCACATAGACTTCGCCGGACCATTCCATGGACTGTTATTCTTTGTAACCGTGGATTCCTACACAAAGTGGCTGGAGATAAGCCCCGTCTCCGCAATGTCCTCAAAGGCCACCATCCGCGCCCTCCGGAAGATCTTCGCCACCCACAGCCTGCCAGACACCATCGTCTCAAACAACGGGACGGCGTTTACGTCTGAGGAATTTCAGCAGTTCCTCAGCAACAACCTGATAAAATACATCAGGTCGGCACCTTTCCACCCCGCTACCAACGGCCAAGCGGAACGCATGGTCCGGACAGCAAAGGAAGCATTAAGCCGCCTGACGGAAGGCGACTGGGAATGCCGCATCACCCGTTTCCTCTTTACGCAGCGAACAACGCCAAACCCGGTAAGCGGTCGCTGTCCAGTGGAACTATTAATGGGTCGGAGGCCAACAATCCTACTGGACCGCCTGCATCCCGATCGGGCTCCGGAGCAACGGAACTCCTCCGAGCAGCGGGAAGCACCTCGCGGGTTCTTTCCAGAGGACCGTCTTTGCCAGGAACTTCGGTAGAGGCCCGGAATGGATCACTGGCCACATCATTCATCCCACAGGCATCGTCACGTATGAGGTGTCCACTGAATGTGGGCAGGTCATGCGGAGGCATATTGACCAACTCCATCGGCGCATGCTACCAGAACACCCGAACAAGGAGGGACCGGAACAACAGGCAGACCCAGAGGTGAGCCCACCAGACGCTCCCGCGCAGGACCTCCTCACTGAAGAGCGTTCGAACCTGGCCACCGTTCCCCCGGCGACTGCCGAGGAGGCCCCAACAACCGATGCTTCGGAACCAGAGGGGCCTGCAACACCCGCGCATCCCAGCACAGGGGACAGGGCCCCTGAGGTCCCAGTACCCCCCCCCCGACAGTCAACTAGAGCATGGCAGTCCCTGACGTACCTAAAGGACTATGTGACCTAGGGTGGGTCCGAACTATGGGGGGAGGGATGTTGTGTCCACTGACCGCCACCAGGGGCCAGCGAACACTCCAGAGCTTGAATCTGGAGTAACAATGGGGACTAGGCTCCTGGTCTCTCCACTGGAGGACCAATGGGACCGTGGCGGGAGATTTAAACCCACCAACGGGACCTAGGGGTGTGTCCACAGGTATGTATATAGTTGGCCAGCCGGCCGTTTGTTTTTGTCTTTGTTGTGTACCAGTAAACCATGCTGATCACTACATCAGTCTCAGTGGTTTCTTCATGCGTTTAACCCACTACACTTCAATTACTGTTCTATAATCTGGTAGAGTATGCCTTAACAGTGCAGGAATGAACAAGGCTGTGTCAAAAGTGCCTAAAAGGATACTGTCACAGATTACAATACTGTGTAAGGTTCATTCAGTGAAGCCTGAGGGTCTGAGAAATATTGTGTGACCAGGCCCTACGATGCAGACTACTAATGGCACTAGGTTCTAGGGGTGGTCATGCCTCTCCTAGCAGCACAGTCCCTTTTGATTTTTTTAAACAGAAAAGCAGCATGGGAGACTTCAACTGAAAGTGGGAGAAATGGGCTGATCTTGCTGTTTTTCTACACAAAACCACTTACCGCTTTATTACCCATACGGGAAAAGACATAGGGTCTCATAGTTTTCCTTTACAGGGAGAAAAGACACTTAGGGAGACTTATTTTGAGTGGACAGCCAGTGAGGAAAGGGTTGAGCATATGTACTATTGTACACTGGAAATTAGGTGAAACATTTTTTAATGTGCCTCCTGGTTTTAATTTTAGATGTTGACACTATTGATTTCAAAAGAATTTCATTTTTATAAATTATGCAAGTTCAGCTTCTGAAACAAAACTTCATTAGCTGTTTTTTATGTACTAGAGTGTACAGCTAGATGTTGTACTCCAAAGATGATGGACAGGGAACATACCTGATTTTTTCAGCAACTTTATTTTCTTCCTGGGTTGCTGACTGGGACTCTCTACTGTGAGAAGATCTATGTACCTCAGACAAAATAGCAAAATTTGGTTTTCCTTTGCCCAATGGGTAGTAGTAAATAGGGAAATGGGGATGATCTGTGTCATTACTGTCTGCAGGGTGCAAAGATATATAAGCATTTACTATTCAGAAATCTCCCCTGAAGTATTAACCAAATTAAGACAGTTACAAAAACCTTACAAAAACAAAGTAAAGTTGAAACATGAGAACAAAACTGTAGATTAGAACATGACACCATGTGAGAGAGCACCTGTGAGGTAGGTGGGGCTCAGAGAGCTCTCCAGAGAGAGCCTGCAGGAGGAGGAGGGGCAGGCAGGCAGGCGTGCGCTGCCCCCCCCCCAGCCCGGCCAGTTGCCTCAGCGCGCACTCCCTACTTCCCCCCCCGTGGCAGCCTGAAGAGGCGGAGAAGCGCCTGCCCGGTTGGCTGCTGGGCCCATGGAGCTGCAGGCGGGCCGCGGCAGCGGAGGAGGAGGCGGCGGCAGTAGCAGCAGCTCACCGCGCCAGGGCAGCTGGCTCGCTGGAGCGCCGGCCGGGTGCGGTGGGCCCCAGATCGCCAGCCCACGGCGGGCAGCTGTCGCAGCAGCTCCCGTGCCTGGCACCGCTGCCGGGGCTGCGCTGGAGAAGGAGGAAGAGGAGCCCCCCGCCCCCCATGGCACCCTCTGCCTCTTCGTCGATTTCCTTCCTTCCTCCTCGCCTAGCGGGCGAGCCGGCCCTGCTTATTTTCTTGTAGTTTTGGAAAATAAATTTAAAAAAACAAAACAAAAACAAACTCGAAAAATTGGGGAGGCAGTACTTCCATTTGCAAAAGCCTTGCTGACTTTTCCTCAGCAGTTTTTGTTCCTCAATATGCCTAATAACCCTATCTTTCATAAAGGTTTCTACTAATTTACATAGAACAGATGTTAGGCTAATTGGTCTGTAATTCCCTGGATCCCATGTGGATGTCTTTTTAAAAACTGATATGACATTTGCTACTTTCTAATCCTTTGGCATAGAGACCAGTATTACTGACAAGTTATACATAGTGGTTAGTAGATCAAGAATGTCACATTTGAGTTCCTTGACAGCCCTTGCGTGTATGCCACCTGGACCTGGAGAATTATTAGTTTTCAGTTTACCTAGTATAACATAACTTCATCTTTAGTCACACCAATTTGACTCAATTATTCAGACACCCTTCTTGAAAACAGCAGCTCTGGTGTGGGTACATGTCCTACATTTTTCAGTGAAAAGAGACACAAAGAATTCAGTTTCTCTGACACTTCCCCATCTTTCTTAAGTGATCTTTTCATTTCTTCATTGTGTGTTTGATCCACCAAATCATTAAGTGTGTGAATATTAGGGTGGAGAAAGGTCTCTTTGGCCAGATGAAGGAGCCTCATGAACTACTATTGTAACCAAAGCAGGACAATTAATATGCAGACCCACTGCTTTGGAAGCAATTTTTGCAATGATCTGTGTATCAGAGGAGTTGGTAATAAGAAAGATCACCTGTCCACCTGTATAGAAAAGTACTTTTAAAAAAGAGACAATCAGTGCTGCTTCTGCTTAAGTACATATCACACTTGGTATTGATTGATGAAGATAATGCATTTAGTTTTGGCACACCCCAGTGGGGAAAAAATGGTTGGAGATACTGAAAATGAATTGACCATTGCTGATTGGACATCCTTTCATGCTCAGCTTGTCCATCCAGGTATTGATCTTCCCCAGCAGGTTTAGTGTTGTGATGGATATTCTATACTGAAGACATCTCTCTCACAACTGATAGGCCAGAGTTCCCAGGGTCTTGGAGCCCATACTCCCTTGTTTCTTTATATAATGCATCATAGGGCAATGGTTGTTTACTATACACAAAGATATGCATGAAGGGTTGTTGTTGTGTTGAAAATAGTGACAACAGTGTTGAAAACAGTTGTGTTCAAGAATGTTTAAGTGGCCTTGGATTCCAGGCTTGACTGACAGTGTGATTGTGGAAATGAGCACCCCATTGCCATGTGGATGTACCTGTGGTAATGGTGAATGTGGAAGAAGGCTACATGAAATGCATTCATCTGAGGAGGTTTCATGCATCTAGCCACTAGAGAAGAAAGAACCCAAGGTAAAATATGATGTATTTTTGATTGGCAGTCTGTAAGTACATTAAATATGAAGTCTACATTTGAAGTGAGTGACTGTTGTAATGGAAGCCATGGGACCAAGGGCACCATGAATCTGAACGATAGTCTGAGATGGTTGGCACATGAAGCTGGATAAGAGTTTCATAATGGACCAAATTCTGTCTTGGGGGCAGAAAAACAAGAGCCTTGAAAGAATCCAATATTGCTTCTATAAACTGGACACATCTAATGGTTCACAGATAACAACTGTCATGCATTGACATGAAGTCCTACGCTGGCAAGGAAGTGAAGCATGTTGTCAGGAGTCAATCATCCGAATAAGAGTAGATTCTGATTCTGTGATGGTGTAGAATGCCACCACCATCATAGTCTTTGTAAAAGGGAAATCAGCTAAATTTCCTGCCTGCTCTTAAAGGCACTTGAGTTTTCATAACTGCATTTCTGGATCCAGGCCACTGTCAACCCTAAGTCAAGTAAATACTGTAAAACACAGAAAGCAGTCTGAACAAGTATAGCTCAAAAGTTCCAGAGAAATTTTTTCATGATGTTGCTGCTACGGCAGTCAGAGAAGAACTGAGCAGGAAAATATGGCTCAACCCTCCTGAGGCATGTTTGTAACTGCCTATCCTCAAGATGGATGGACTCGGTGCCAGAAACAGCTCTTTCAGTTAAGCTCTAGAAAATTCCTAGTGATATTCTGTGCAGGCTTGAGTTCCATCACACATCACTTGTGTGTGATGCAGAGTCCGCAAAGAATACTATTGCTGTCCAAAAGCACATAACAGGTCCGTATAAACATTTAAATACAATGTAAGTTTATTCTAAATTGCGATTGTAAAATTATTTTGAAGATTTGCTAGAGGAGGTTCTATTCACCCCATTATGGAATTGTCTGCAACAGAAATAATTCTATTTTACAACAAAGCATTCAAAATGATGTATTTGCCAATAATCTTCAAACTGCTATAATCTGGTCAGTCATCTACTGACTTTCCCCCGCCCCATTCCATACTTGTTCATCACTTAACATTGACCCTTTAAAAGGTCAAGAAGATATTCTTGTTTACCAAAATGTGAATGTGGTGCATGCTCAGTTGTTGAGCTTTCCGCTCTGTTTTTCTTCCTGGCATCTCTGGAGGCTTTCCAATTCATTAGGAATTGTCTTTCCATTTCCTTTATTTCTTTGCCATCAAGGGATTCTGAAGGGAATTTTTTGTAACATATTAAGTCAACAAAAGATTAGTTTACTTTGGTTTACCCAATTCTTTCCTGGGTGATGTTTTGGTATTCTTAGGAACATAGGCTGGTTCTACTTCTAGCATTCACTCCACATTTTCTCAACACTGAGGAAAATGTGCAGCTCTAAACCACATTCAAACCACATTCAAATACCCTGGGCCAATACCATACTGACTGCAAAGTCACCCCTGAATGGCCATAAAACAGCCATAAATCTATGCAGAAGGTACCATAAAACATAATGATCAAAGAAAGTAAAAGTGGCACACAATGCAGAGGGTACCATAAAATCTGAGGATCAAAGGAAATGAAAGCAGCATGCAATGCAGAGGGGAATTTCTGTACCAGCATGGGTTTGCTAAAACAACAGAGGGAAAAGCCAATGCAGAATTGCCCATGGTCCACGGGGAAGGTTTTGTTTCAGTAGATTTTTTTTTAATCATCAGAGCTGCTATCATGTATTTATGTTATTGGAAGCCGCCCTGAGCCTGCTTGCGGGGAGGGCGGGGTATAAATCAGACAATGAATAAATAAATAAATACAGCTGAACGCTCTACATCTTAGTTTTTTCCCTGCGTTTATTTTAAATTACTTTTGTATGGCAGTGGAGAGAGAAGGAAACTAACTCTTTCTTTCCCTGCTACTTTCTTGCTGAAAAAAGCTGCCCCAAACTGCTTTTACTCTTGCTGGGAAAAATGTACAGGTTCCTATATTTCTCCCCAGCTAGAAAAGTACAATTAAAAAGCTAAATCTAGCAGCCTATTATTACTGCTAAGTGTAGTTCAGTGTACTCAACAGAATTAGGCCACTGAAAGAACTGCCCTTCCTCCACAAATATTTTTTCGAAACAGAATCATTATTCCTCAATCCCCTATTAGATTCCTAGTGCCAGGGAAAAGCTCATCTCCTTGCTTCTATGAAGTCTACTCAACAGAGCTTATGCTCAGGACAGTCTTCTTAGGAATGTTCTGTTAGTGTACTAATTAATACCATTTCAAATAAAGTTGCTCTGCTGGTATAGCTGTAACTTTACCAAGACTTTTTGACTGTAGTATAAGCCTGTCTCGGTATTTCGGTTTGTGGCAAACAGGATTCCCATTCAACTCTATTTTGATTAGCTTGGTCCACACACTCAGAACAAACTCCATGTCCTGCAAATAGCAGAGAAAAAATATTGCTGCTTATTTAGCATGACATTATCACTTACCTTATTCATAATCCTTTTCGTTTTAGCTTACTTCCCAAATATTATTCGTTAACATAAGATATGCACATTTTCCTATCCATGCAAGCAAGTAGCATTCTGATTTTTATTTTTATTTTTCTTATTCTTTATTCATGATTGGGGCTCTTTTTGTAGCAGGAACTCCTTTGCATATTAGGCTACACACCCCTAATGTAGCCAATCCTCCAAGAGCTTACAGTAGCCCTTGTAAGAAGAGCTTTGTAAGCTCTTGAAGGATTGGCTACATTAGGGATGTGTCGCCTAATATGCAAAGGAGTTCCTGCTACAAAAAGAGCCCTTCAACCAACCTCTTATGCAAACTTTCTACTGTAAAGTTCATGTATAAAACACAGGCTAAAATCCAGGGCATCAAAAGGGTGGAAGCACAAACACTACCTGCACAGTTCTTCATGTGCCTATGTAAGCTTTTGCATAAATTGTGCACACAGCATTTATATGCTGAAGGATATGTAGATGTGGCTTGTTTTTCCTTCTAGAAATTGACTATGTCACAGTGGCATACATGAAGAAAACAGCCACTCTATATGCAGATGTATATCTGTGGATTCCATTAATAAAACAGCAAGATCAAGCAACGTATTATTTCAGTTAATCCTTTCCACACACATGGCAATATATGAGAGCAGAGGTGTGTTATTGATTAGGGGGCTGCTGGTAGAAAATCCTCTTGTACACATGGAGAGCCATATGAGCAATGGAACAGATGGAGAGATGGAGTGGATTGGGCCCAAAGTACTTAATGACAATTATCTCAGTTACTCAGAATAATATAATAAATAGTAATTTTCCTCCACATCTGTGAGTGGTCATTTAAATTCTTGGCTAAATCCAGGGGAGGAGAGGATTATTGTTGCTTTTCATGAACAATTATTCAGTATGGATTTTGTTTTTAATTGTCCAAGGGCAATGCGACCTAGATCAAATCTATTATTTTATATAACTATTATATATATACAAGGTAACATGATTTGTACATTTTGGCAGGCACAGGCCTTCTTGTAAATATGCACTGTCCAAACATTTTCACAGGGCCAGTCTATATTCTATTGGCAGAGGCTAGCTAGAAGAGCAGTAGCTAACTGAACTGAAAGAAATTTGCTTTTCTCTCGTAGTTGAAGAATATCGTAATTTCTATTCGTATCTAACATTTTTAATACTGTGAATGGTGAGGACATTTTTAAATAACATACCTATGGTGCTTGCAGCACCTGCCTTTTCCTTCCTCCCTGAAACTCCCCAACAGCTGATGCTCAGAGTCAGGGGACCCTTGTGAAGAAACACCTTACAGTCTACAGAGACTACACTGAGGAAGGAGAATCAAGCTAAACTGTTCCTCATTCTCACGCTGACAGGAAGCTTCCTCCACCATGCTTCTTTCACCAGCAAAAGAAAGGAGGCAGCAGTAATTTAACTGGGGCATACTAAAAGGAGTAACAGAGAATGACTACTGTAACTGGGACACACTGAAGTCCAACTCTCCCTCTCCTCGCTGCAGTCCCCTACATCTAGGGTTGCCAAATTTAAATTCCCTACTGGCGGGGGAGCGTCCAGCCGGCCAAGGTATTCCCAACTCAGAGCTGGCGAGCTTCTGCCATTATCATATCATATCACCACTGAGGGCTCTTTTCGCTGGGGCGGAGTTCCCCCCGGGCCCCGATTCCCCGGCGTCGGGTGACGGGCATCCGGGGCGGGGGGAATTCCGCCCTACCGGGGGGGTTGGCACCCCTACCTACATCTCATGGAACTTTGTCCATGAGGCACACTGAATAGCTTTGGCTTTTGGGATCCTCAGAGGGCTACTGGGTGAGGTAAAGGCAGGGAAATATCTCCATCTGCTCTTGGTAATTTGTAATATCCTACTCAGTATCTTTACCAATGTTCCCTCTAAGCTATGGAGTCTTGCGAGCAAAAATTCTACTTTGTGAGCTCCTGGCATTAAAGTTGTGAGCTCATGATTTAGCTACTGCATCATTTAGTTTGCTCTGGAGCCCTTCCTTCCTGAGCTAAGGCAAAAGTGTGTGAGCTGGAGGCTAAAAAACGGTGAGCTGGCTCACACTGACTCAGCTTAGAGGGAACACTGATCTTTACACTGCCCAGAATTGCTGCATTTGTATTCCTACAGTTCCTACCAAATCTATCATCGCTGTAGACTTGCAGTCAGATCCAAAGCAGTGTGCAAGTCTAGGGCCGATTCCACACAATCACTTGCTCCGGTGTCACCCCCCAATAATATCCGCGGAAATTATCAGTTCTCCACATGCTGGTCTGGGTCAGCAATTGACCTGAATCTAATGGCATTTCCCACCGGATTGTCTGTCTCCGCTATTCGCAGGTTCTTTTTTTTTTTGCTGCAGTGTTGAAGTCGGGGCATTCCAGTGGGGAACTTGCGATTCGCTGCTGTCCCCTCTCTGCCCCTTTAACACCCCTTTGCTTCTTTCCCTCCACTTCACTCCCATTCCTGCCTATCAACACCTCTTCAATGCCCTCCTGCTTCTCTCTCCCCCTCCCCCCTCTCCTTCCCGCCTGCCTGCAAACCCCCCCTTCTGCATGCACAGGATTTTTTTTTAATTTCCCTCCCCATGTTGCGTTGCAATGCAACAATGGGCCATCGTCAACCGGCATTTAAATGTCCTTTTACATGTCCGTATGCTGTTTTCTCATTTGTTTGGCAATTCGCTATGTTTAAGCATTCTTTTTCATGTTCGTATACTGTGTTCCCATCTGCCCCTCCCCCACTTCCCAGCTGCATCCCTCCCCCCCTTCCTTGGTGCACACGTGCTTTTTTCCCCACCAGTGTTGCATAGCAATGCAATAATAGTCCATCGTTTACTGGACGCAACAATGGACCATCTTTGACCGGCGTTTAAATATCCTTTTACATGTCCGTATGCTGTTTTCTCATTTCTGTTTGGAATTTGCCATTTGTGTAAAGGTTTAAGCATTATTTTTCATGTTTGTATACTGACTTCCCGTCCACCCCCGCGCCCCCCCCACTTCCTGGCTGCATCAATGGATGCTTTTTACGGGCATCGAGGGTCAAAAATTAAAGGGACCAATCAACGTTTCAGTGCACGGTGTGTTACAACGCAACCCCGCCTCCATTTTAAAAAAGGAGGGAGAAGAGAGGGGAGGGGGCTCTAGATTTGGGGCAAGGCAACATGCGGAAATGAACACCCAGGCAAAACCCAGGTCAGATTTCCAAAATGCGGAAACACGCACATAGAATCGGGCCAATTAGAAAGGGGGGCAAAGCATTAGTGCGGAATCGGCCTAGCTCTTTCAACAAGGTTAAAAATGCTTCTGGAATAAAAACTTTACTGACTCTTTGAGACCAAGTGTACTGTTTCTCTCTGATAAAATAAAAAAAATTAAAAATCCTTACAGAGAATCATAGAGTTGGAAGGGACCTCTAGGGTCATCTAGTCTAAGAGGTCCCTTCCAACTCTTACAGATTAGCTATTTTACGGGTCCCTTCCAACTCTTACAGATTAGCAATATTTCCAACCCCCTGCTCCCCACTCAGAATAGCTGAGTGCTTTCATACATGTAATGCTGCAGGTTAGATCAGGGTGTTTGAATTTCATTCTGAATGCTTTTGTCAGACTAGGATTGGTTTATGGCTTTCCTGATCAATGTATTGTTTTATGGCCTTCATCTGGTTTCTGTTCCTCTGCTTATCGATGCCCTCGCTGCCATGTCATTCCTGCGGGGAGGGGGAAGGTGGGAATGCCTGGATGTGTGAATGGGGGAGTAGACTAGCTGCTTGCTTTGTAACTTCTTTTCCCATAACAAGTGCGCCTCAGGGAATGGCTCTAACAGCAGGACGTCCTTGAAGATAACATTTTCACATGGCTAGCTGAATTGATGTATCTGTTAGGGCTGAGGCTAGAATAGCCGGCAAAGGCATGTGAATGTTGATTCACTGGAATGTGGGGTTTGACTATACCTTGAGATACTTTCACTTTGTGCCTTAGTCTTAGCAAAGATTTCATCCTTGCAACTTCCAAATCTCTTTCCAATAAAATTCTCTTCAATGGATTGTGGTCTGAGAGTGGATTGCCTGGGAACCTGACAGATTGCTAAGACTCCTCTTCTACAACCCAGTTCCCTACCTAAGCATGGGGAACAGTGACGGAGGCAACGGCCAGGGTGCCAGGACCAGCTCAGAAACCAAGCAGCAGGCATCTGAAGTCCGCAAGAAGAAAACCAATAAATCTACGGGAACACGGTCCAAGAAGCAAGTGGTGTTCCAACCCCCTGACTGCTGGGACGACCCGGCCTGGTTGGGGGGCACCCTGGATTTTGAGGAGCGAGGGGCCGAGTGGATCGAGAAAGACGGTGGGCATCCCGGATGTTCCAGGATGACCCCAAGCTTAGCCGCATGAGAGAGGAGTGGGAAGAAGAATCTGCCTCCGAGAAAGGACTGCATGCTGATCTTAAAGAATTGAAAGAAGGGTACCAGTACCTGGTAAAAAACCTCCTCATTGTGGTCAAGGAGCTCATGGAGAAGAAAGCCCCTGAGACGTTCACGGAGGAGGAGGTGGAAGAAGATGATGAAGAAATGAGGCTGGGCCCTCGCACAGGGCGGTGGCCTGCAGGGGAGGAAAGGAACGCAAGCGACCGTGAGTGTCACGACAGGGCCAGTGGGGCAAGGCAGAGAGGGGGAGTTCACAGTTCAGTCCGAGAGTCAAGCCAGAGAGAGAGCAAAACAACCAGAGCAAAAGTCCCAATACATAAAGCCAGGCCATAGTCAGAGCGTTACCAAGAGTCAGAGTCCAGATAGGCAAGCGTCGAAGTCAGGGTGCCGAGCCGAGGATCAAGAGCCAGAGGTTTGTCAAAATGTGGATTGGAGTCAGGAGCCAGGAAGTCAGTCAGTAGCCGGATACCAGGAACAGAGTCAGAGGT